GACCAGCTCTTCCACAGGAGAAAGGTGAGTCTTTCTGCTCCTGTAAAGATTTATGGCCTCAGAAACCTTGACAGGGTCACTATGAGTCAGAACTGACTCCACGGCCCATAACCACCACCACCAAAATAGCACTAGAATTTTTTAGGCTGTTCTCAATTTAAAAATCAAATAAAATGCTTTCCATTATTCCGATTGGTTATTTCCGTATTTTTTTCACAGTGGGGATTGTGCTCATTTTTCACAAGCTCACAAAACAAGAGGAGAATTTTTAAATGGAAGTTGCCCAAAAGAACCAATTTCCAAGCAATTCTCTGCAGTCAGTTTTAAGTCTAGAAAACGAGGCCTGGGCCTTCTTTACTGTTACCCAAAGCTTAATTTTGATCCTAGTTAATAAACTTATAAATTTACTGCCACATCTTATTTTCAAAGTTGACTCAGGCACTTCATGGAACTTTTCATTAGTTATTGAGACTATTATCAGGTGCAGCTGAATTGGTTCCAACTCATAACAACCTTATTATAACAGATTGAAACAATGCCTAGTCCTGAACCATTCTCACACTCTTTGCTAGGCTTGAGCTTCTGCCATTCCATGACATTGAGTGTCTTCTTTTCACCGCCCCCCTGCTTCACCAAGCATGATGCCCTTCTCTGATAACTGGCTTCTCCTGATAACATGTTGCATAAATGAATTTTATTATACTCCCTTATAAAGAGCATTCTGGCTGTACTTCTTCCAACACAGAATTGGCAGTCCACTATATATTCATAAGTCATCACCAACACCATAATTCAAATGTATCAGTACTTCTTCAGTCTTCCTTATTCATTGTCCAGCTTTCACCGGCAAATAAGGTGATTGGAAATACCATGGCTTAGGCCAGGCATACCTTCCTTCTCAAAATGACATCTTATCTTTTTAACATGTTACAGAGATCTTTTGCAGCAGATTTTTATAATACAAAATGTTAGTTGATTTCTTGACCACTTCTTCTGTGGATGTTGATTGTGGATCCAAGTAAAATGAAACCCTTGACAACTTTAATATTTTCTCTGTTTATTATGATGTTGCTTACAGATCCAGTTGTGAAGATTTTTTAGTTTGTTTTTTCATATTGAAGTATAATCCATACTGAACTCTTTGATCTTCATCAGTAAGAGCTTCAAGTCCTCTTCACTTTCAGTAAGCACTTGTCTTACTGAAAGTGAAGATTGCATTGGCTGCATATCACAGATTGTTCATGAGTCTTCTTCCAAATTTAATGCCATGTTCTTCTTCAAATAGTCCAGCTTCTCAGATTATTTGCCCAGTATGCAAATTGGATAAATATGATGAAAGGGTACAACCTGACACACACTTGTCTGATTTTAAGCCATGCAGTGTCCCTGGTTTATCATGTGTACAATAAAGTGTTTTGGAATTCCGTTTTTCACAATGTTAACAATACTTTGTTATGATCTACATAGTCAAATGCCTTTGCATAGTCCATAAAACACAGGCAAACATCTTTCTAGTATTCTCTACTTCCAACCAAGATTCATCTTACACCAGCAAAGATCTTTCGCATTCCATGTCCTCTTTTGAATTTCTATCAGTTTCCTGTTGATGTACTGCTTCAATCATTTTAAAATTATTTTCAGCAAAATTTTACTTGTGTGTGATATTAATGATTCTGTTCAATAATTTCCACATTCCATTGGATCACTTTTCTTGGGAGTGGACAGAGATTTGAATCTTTTCCAGTTAATTGTCCAGGTAGCTAGCTGACTTCCAAATTTCTTAAGTGCTGCCAGTGGTGCATCCATTTGTTGAAGGATCTCAATGGGTATTCCATCAATTACTGGAGTCTTGTTTTTCACCAATGCCTGCAGTGCAGTTTGAATTTCTTTCAGATCAATTCTCGATCATATGCTACCTCCTGAAATGATTGGATGTTGATCAGTTCTTTGTGGTATAGTGTCTATGTATCCTTTCATATTTTTTGATGGTTCCTATATCATTCAATATTTTTGCTTATGTTGTTGTTAAGTTTAAGTGCTACTGAGTTGATTCTGACTCAGACGACCTCATGCACAACCGAATGAAACATTGCCTAGTCTTATACCGTCTTCACAGCTGTTGCTATATTTGACTCTAACGTTGCTGTCACTACGTCAATCCATCTAGTTGGAAGTCTCCCTCTCTTTCATTGACCTTCAACTTACCAAGCAGGATGTCCTTCTTCAAAAACTGGTCCCTTCCAACAACATGTCCTAAGTATAAGCCATTCTCACTTCTAAGGAGCATTCTGACTGTGCTTTCTCCAAGATAGATTTCTTTGTTCTTCCGGCAATCCATGGTGTTTTCAATATTCTTTATCAACAACATAATTCAAATATATTGATTCTTCTCAGATCTTCCTTATTCATTGTCCAAATTTCACATGCATATGAGGCTATTTAAAATACCATGGTTTTGGTCAGGTGCATCTTACTTTTTACCTTTACTCAGAGAATCACTCAATATTACAGTTTTACGCTAGGAATTTTTCTTCAGTTTAGTTTGAGAAATGGTGTTCTTACCTTTTAGTTTTCTAACTCCAAGTCTTAGCACATTTCAAGCCATTATTTTTAAGAAATCATCTCCTTTGCCCTGACTTTAATGACTTCATTAGGAATTTTCAAATACACTTACTGTAACAGTGGTGCTGGTCTGAACTCTCATCTATAAACAAAGGAAAAGATTTATGAAATGCAGCTGGCACTGAAACTAAAAATGAGAATGTAAATTCTAAAATAATACACTACCTGCTTGGTTTACCCCACTTTTAATTTTTACCTCCCATAAGTATTGTTCCTCCCCAGAAAACTCTAGTCCTCTTTCCTAATCATTTTGTTCCTTGTATTTGTCAATGACCTCATATTATTTCATTATATAGAATAACATTTGATCCCAAATATGGAAATGCAAAATAATAATAGCAGTGGCAAGATCACTTAAAAATGCTAACTATATCAATGGGAATATATATTGATGTAGGAAAAAAATGTACATTGTTTCACTTAAAAATTATCTTTCCATATTATTGAAAAACTTCCTTTTATATTCAATAAGTATCTATTTTGTGAATAAGATGTCCTGGGTATTATGCTAGTTAAGAGTCAGATTTGTGCCACACAGAGAACTAGCATGTAAACAAGCAGCATATAATGAATGCTTCCAATGATGTTAAGGAATTATGTGTGTTAACTTATTCAAACAGCACTTCTTACCTGTGACAGAAATTCTGTTTCTGGATAAGGAACCAGGGCATTAAGTATCACACACAGCTGATAAATGTTAGAGGTAGACTAGGAGTCAGGATCCCCACTCACTATCTGAATCTTTCACTATGCCACATCCTGGATCCTGCTGGTCCTCAGCCCTAACAGTATCTGGCTGCCTGTGATTTCAACTCCTGAAAGATTCCATGAGCTGTAAGGTCTTAAAGTTACTGTTGGTATTTTCATCATGTGAAGAATATTTCAGATATATATGTCAATATATATTGAAACTTTTTATTTTTAATTGAGTGAAGCTTTAAAGACAAGATCATCAGTTTTATAATAAACAAACCATATATTTTCTTTCATCTCAGTGATCGCAATCCCCTCCATGTAACAGAACGAAACACGAACTGGTCCTTCAGTATCATCACAATTGTTATGTTTGAGGCCTTTCTTATAGGGGGTTGTCTTCTTTTTAGGAGATCCACAATGCAAGCATGATATCCTCCTCCAGGGATTGGTCTCTCCTGACAACATGTACA